ATCAGGCATATAATTAGGTATGCTGCACAATGGATAGACTGAATTCCGTATAAGTAGGCGTGGCATTACATCAGTTGACATCAGCATACATGAAGTCGATATACATTTACCATAAGTTGCGTCACTTGTCGCCCGTCATATCCATATGCTTAGAATTTAGCATGATGCTCGACAGCAATTTAGCCTTAAATGTAAAAAGTAGGTGTGCCATTGAAGGCATAGACCTAAGGATAGAAAGAGATCTATTTAGGTAGAGCTTCATTCAATCAGTGGATAGAAAGAAATCCCACAATGCAGACATTATTAGTTATGCTGCCCTACGGAGAGGCTGAATCCCATATAAGTGGATGTGGCATTACTTCTGTAACTTGTACTATGATCATTAGCAGTAGTCTCATCAATTTTGACTTTGCGCTTGCACTTTCCTGGATACAAGAAGGGCAGAATCCTTTTCATGAGAGCCAAAAATAAACTGCGCTTAGCCAAGCGACAAATATCGGAACTGGATATGTGATGGAGGTTACATAAGTGTTGGCACCACCAAGAACTTGGAAGTGTTAATTTGCTTGGAATGGTTTGTGAGAGTGAAAGGAAACGTTGAGTTCTAAGCGACATAAATCCCATTTATCTCCTCATCTTCTCCCTGAACCTCCTCTGCCAACTTGACATCCACTACACCCTTGACTAATTTTGCCCATGCGATAAGACCCTGTTATTACTACTGCCTTGTGTCCTAAAGCAAATGTTCGCTAATATGGGAAAAAGTGTCGTGCATCTACAGTGCAAGAGAGGAGCAGAGGGGCAGAGTTGAAAAGCACCACTGGGGCATTATCAAGAGTTTACACATCAGTGATTTCGTGAGCGAATTGTTGCGCTACTTTAAATGTCACTTCATATAACTTCAGCCATAGACGCCCAAACGGACAAGAAGTTACTTTATACCCTTATGCATCTATTTCCATCTCTTCTTGGTTTTGGAAAATATTTGAGAATTTGCTGAATTTTACTTTGAGGTGAACTACACATATGCCGTCGTTTATACCGCACTCACTGCCAACCCCTCAACATGTCATATAATCACAATGGTGTCAAATCAGCTAAAATGCGTGGCAGATCGGTCAAAATTAATGATAAACAACTGGTGGTAGTGGATGATTTGTGGCTATGTAAGTGCCAAGTACATTTATTTGCAACTAGGTCTGCGTCAATACACTGTGTCAGAGCTATGTAAATTCAGTGATCACTGACCGCTGCTGC